TATAATTAAAATTAATTAATAATTTTCTATTAATATTAATTAGTACTCATTAATACTAGTAATACTTAGTTTTTATTTTTATTTATTAAAAATTAATCTTTATTAATAATAATTAATATTAATGATGATTATGATTAAAAAAAGTGACCAAAAACTCCTAATAAACTACGTCATAGAGCGTTTCGATAAGTTAGCTTATGTTTATTCAAATGTGTACCCGAAAGATAAGCTAGCTTATATTTGTCGAAAAATGTCTTAATAAATATCTGAATTCGTTTTCTTCAATATATACTAGAAGGGTACTCGTGCAATGCATCGAGACACACTTCGATTTCAATGTTTTGTTTTATTTTTTTATCTATGTCGATATAATACGATTTGATATGTTTTGAGAAATCGATAATGTTTTTATTTTTTAATAATATAAAATTTTGAAAATATCAAATAAAATTTGCAAAAAATATATCAAAATTTATATCAAATTAACTATTTAAAAGTTCTTGTTTGTGTATTTTTTTTTTAATTCAAATTTTTTATTATAATTTCATTTAACGAACGACGTAACTTAATTTAAGTTTAATAATATGTTTTTTTTATAAAGATAATAATTAAGTATTCTATTAGAACTCAATAATTATCATAATTATATTTCAAATTTTTTATATTTTAAAATAAGATGTTTATCATCTATTTGATTATGTTTATCCGTAGTTAGTTACATGAATTCAGACATAAAGCTTTAATAAGTTGTACTTATGCACATACTCTTGAATTTTAAGTAATATGCATTAATAAACAGTACTTTATTCATAAAAAAAAGTTTATAAGAATTTTTGTCAAATATTTTATGATATAGTGTGTGTGTGTGTATATATATATATATATATATATATATATATATATATATATGTATATGTATGTATGCCATTATTATTTTATAAGCCAATGAAATCTAACAAACCATACAAACCGTGTGGTTCTTTGTTTAATTGAATAAAATTGTGTCATGAAAGTGTTTGATATGATGAATTTTTTTCATATAATTTTTTTCTTGATGAAATTGTTTCATATTTTTTTTTTCTTGTGAAAATGAAATTGTTTTATGTATTTCTCACTTTGATGAAACTTTTATTACATATTCTTGATTAATCAACCCTCATATATTCTTGATGAAATTGTTTCATATATTATTTGCTAATCAATCTTCATAATTAAATTATATTTATATTAACAAATTATTACAAAACAAATGTTTTTAACATTTTTAGAACGGAACCTAAAGATATCATAAAGATTACTAAAGGAAAATAAGTAATATGTGTTGCAATCATTCTACGAAGAAGAGGATTGCATTTTTATCGACAATCTGAAATAAAAATATCGGATTTCTTTACAAATTATATCATATTATAATCGTCTCGTCACTACCTTCAAAATGAGCACAATATTAAATATTTTTGAATTTAATCATATTGTTAAATACAATATATACGTAGTGGATTGTTTTATATTCATTATTTTTTAATTTTATTTTACACCTTTAATGTACAAATTTAAAACTCACAATCTCCATCAAACCATCACGATCTCAAAAATAATATTAAAAATCAAATAAATTTTTAWGTTTAAATACTCTTATAATTATTTATTTAATTTTTTTTATGTATTTTTCTTTTCAACTTTTATATCATTATCATATTAACATGAATAATCGTATATCAATTAAAATACATTAAAAAGTAAATTTCTTTTTTTTTTATAAATTATACCATTATAATTGTCTCACCAATACCTTTCAAAATGAGTTCAATATCAGAAATTTTAAATTTAACCATATTTTTAAATATCAGAAATATATAGTGAGTTATTTTTAAAATATATGCTTCACTTGTTTTATATTTCTTAAACTTTAATTTTTCATTTTTCATTTTTCATTTTTCATTTTTCATTTTTAATTTTTCATTTTTCATTTTTCATTTTTCATTTTTCATTTTTAATTTTTCATTTTGTACACTCTCATCTATATTATCTATATACTATATTGATAAGCATGCTAAATGGTTACATATTGAATTTTAAGAGATATCCATTTTCAAAGTTGTTAAATGTCAAATTCACTATAAATATGTAACGTCTTGACTTCCACAAATCATTTATGGTTTGAAGGCATGTGGTCAGATTTCAAAGTTTGATTAACAAGGCGTCGGTATCTTTGTGTCTGTACTGTTCATTTATTCTTGAATTTTAATGATAATTAGTGGTTTCACAAAAAGAAGATTAAGGAGTCGTTTACCAAACRCTTACTCAGGTAAGTGAACACCAAGTCACATTACTTTACCGGATGAATATGGTAAGGACCAAGAATCTTACCCGGTAAGAGCGAAACAAGGACCAAGAGTTTTACCCGGTAAGTGAGGGTGATTACTCTTACCACGGTAAAAGCTTATCGGGATAAATTGTTGAATATGATACAGTTTTGGTGGACTAAAATCTTACCCAATAAGTAAATGATAATGTTAAATTTTACCTACAAACGCTTACTGGGTAAGAGTTTGGTAAACAACCCCTAAGTTCATAATATGCGTAGTCAAACCCAATTTATCTAAAACCGGTGCCATTTTCCTTTGATGGCAAAATGTTAGATTCTTCTGTTGTATTTGGGCCGTGTGATTTTTTTCATCTTCAAAGTTCCCACTTAAAATTAATTCGTTTTTTATGTTAGATGTGTCTCAATTCTAAATATCTTGGAGTTTGACAGTTAACCTTTGTACTTCTATACTTAGTGGTCGTGAGAGATTGCATTGCAGGGACACCGATCTTGTGAAGAGAACAGGTGCTGCCACTGCTGCTGAAGTTAGACCCACCGGACTTTCACATGCATTTGCTACTTATATTGCTGTTAGTATATGAGAAAAAGTGCAAACAAGTGCATGTGTAAATTATACCTACCGTCGCCAGTGGCTTATTATATAAACTTGTGGATATATATAAGTTTCTACCATCGCTAATAAAATTGCTAGATTTCATCAATGCATTGTTTCTAAATGAAACAAGGATTGATTATTTGGTATTAGGGTTTTAAGAGAAATCTTAAACTTGTATGCTTTCGTTTTGAGGTATCATCTGCCACAAATGAAACACTGAATGCTTTACAAACAAGCTTGAGATTCACTTGGAACTGAAARCATTAAGCACTTTACATCAAGTAAATCTAATCATGGATTCCCTCCATCTTCCTTCATGCATTTTCAAGATAGGTTTGGATAATGGTCGATAAAATATACGAATGGTAGCTTTTCTCTTACGTAAACTAACACATATCACCAAGGTATTGTAAGACCAACTTTTTACATTACCCTACTGAAGAAAATAACAAAGAGAACATTAGCAATGCTTTGAACCTTCACAATATTATGTTGTAACGATATATTTGTTGCCTAACTAACGCCCACATCACTGAAGTACAAAATGACCAAATTTATACACCCATCCTCAAGAAAAGGATGTCTGTTCTCATTTTATTTGATTTAATAAATGCCCTCATACTGCTAGTGATGTATTAGAGGACTTGTGAATTTTGTTGCTTTGAAAGAATCAAATCAGTAACTCCAAACACAAGGTACAACGTTCCTTTACTTCTTCTTGTTGGACCTTCCAAGCCCTTTCTTAGCGAGCAAAAAAAAGGCCTCGGCCAGGATTTGGGGGTAAAAAAGGGCCTAATCAAGCTTTTACAGGATAGACTTACCCCCAAAATTTTGGCTTCGTCGGGTTTTGAGGCCTAGCCTAGACCACGCTTTGGGCTCACTAGGCCCAATCTTTTTTCTGACTCGGGCTTCAGCTTTTTTTTCCATCTCTACTCCAACAAGAAGATTAGATATCAATGAAGGCATGACGGTCTTTTTACAACATTAGTGTTTTTTTATTAACCTGGATATTCAACCCGTTATGCGAGCCGACTAATCCAATGACGACCACCTGCTTTACAGATAGCCCGGAGTCACTGTTTTTGAACCTCCGTGGCTACAAAGGGATTTTTATTCTTCCTCGGATTTTTACAACATTAGCGTTATGGACCCAAACCGTTGAAAAAACAAATCACGAGTGCTAGAGGTATGCACCCCAAACGGTTCGGTCCAAAGTCGTGTATGAGGCACCGCCTCTTATACGGAAATTGTATCGTTTCACCAGTTTTTTCTGCTTTCTTCCCTAGTATATGGAAATTGTATGGTTACCCATAAACTTAGGGGTTGTTTACCAAACGCTTATCCGGTAAGCACTTACCGATAAACTTAGCACTATCATTTACTTAACGGATAAGATTTTAGTTTACTAAAATAGTATCATATACAACAATTTACCCGGTAAACGCTTACCGTTGTAAGAGTCGTCGCCTTCACTTACCGGATAAGACTCTTGGTTCTTGTCTCGCTCTTACTGGGTAAGATTCTTGATCCTTACCATATTCATCCGGTAAGGTAAAGTGACTTGGTGTTCACTTACCCAAGCAAGCGTTTGGTAAACGGCCCCTTAATCTTCCATTCTTCCCTATCGTCTTACTGCATATAAAAAGCAATCGATGATTGTTGATTCAACACCAAACCATCGACCGATTCATCTCTGGTTCGCTGCTTCTCTCCAAAACCAATTTGAATATTAATCGATACCAAACGAATTGACATCTTCTCTCGTAGTTTTACGTATTTATTTTGTTTCTTTACTATGTTGGCAAGACTGATTGCATATTCTTTACTTCTTTYATGTGTACATRTGCTGCTAAGAGGAAAATGCRTCAAGGCTCGTTTCCGTTCATTAAAACTTTGATCACGAGGACCTGTTTCGATAAAAGTTCACTTTATGGACCCAATACATTAAAATCACAAAAGCACATAAAAAAGAAGTAACTTACACTAAAATTATATAACAAGACTTGAACTCGAACACTACAAGGATGGAAGTGGTACCTTGTGTACTGCTACGCCAAAGGCCTCTGGTAGCAACAGAACTTTAAGTCACAAATTCAGTCATCGTATCTGAATCGTACAACACCTCCGTTGCTTCGATAAGCGATTTAGTAACATTATAAATAACGACAGTAATTGTATGCAACTATTCATAACAATGAACAAACAAACATAACTAATGTTAAAAAATTGGGTGAGGTGAAAGACCCTRTACAAGATCTATCTTCCTGCTCGAGTCCCTATTTCACCTTGTATGTATATGTATGCAACTCCAGGACCTCTAACTTATTCCTCATGTAACTTCAGTCCTAGATAAAAGGATGATCGTTTCCAGATGCTTCGTGACCAGCAGAATCATCGTTTATAATCAAACCAGCTTCACCTGGAACTCGTTAATCCTGTTGTCAGTAAACCGTGAAAGAAATTTTGTGGGTGTTTGTGAAGGATTTACCAACGGGGATAGGAGCTATGGTAAGTTTTATTCGGATCCTGCCAATAGTAATAGTGGGAGTTACTGTAGGTCTTTCTTGATTCCTGTGGGGTCCTGYGGTTGGTAGTCTCATATGGAGAGTTGTAAAAGCCGGATGCTCTTCTGCTGCTGCTGACGTTGATGTTCATTTCTTCCCACATTTCCTCTTCGAGGTCATACTTGGACCTCTGCAAAGTTAAATCAGATGTTAGACAAACAGAGATGGAGGTGAAGGGAGAACGGCTCAGATTTTTTATGAAATTGTCAAAAAGACCACTATCCGAACACCACATCAATGAYGGTCAACAGAGGCCGATAGATATCACTATTTGTGTTCATGTTTAGAGTTTATCATCTGTGATCATTGCTGTGCGATGTGCAATTTGTGTGAATGTACTAGAACAAATATTCAGCCAACTAAAAGTGAAATGGACACTGGAAATGATCCCCCCCAAACGGACATTATTATGAGAATTGTCATCATCTAAATATCTTAAGCAATTGAAAAGGCCATATATACCGGATAAGTGTTCTGTATGCTACAAGATACCAGAAAAAATCTCCATTTTATTCCTTCGAGAACAAATCCTCTGAACAAGTCAGTAATATTATATATGATAAGTCACGTTAGAAGAAAGAWAGGACATAATATGAATAAAGTTTTAGATCTCCCATAAAAAAATGATTTAAAAGAAAAGGATATGGAACAAAGAAGAAAATTAAAGAGTCGAGTCTTCACAGTTATMTGCCAGCTAGGGTATGGTAAGAAATGGACAAGTGTTACCAGTAGAGCCMAGCCTCACAGGAGGTCATGGGTACAAACCATATATAAATATTATACTTCAAGAAAAAAGAAATTTGAAAGCTGCAGACCTTCGTGGAATCTGAGAGCACAGCATATGCCTCTCCAATCATCTTAAAAAGTCTGTCAGCATCCATTTGAATCGATTCAGCAATCACTTTCCATTGTTGCCCATCACTTCCACTTTCAGCTCTTGCAACGATCTGACCAGCCTAAAACTCAGCAAACAAAAACTCTTTAGAGAAGAAATATGGTATTCAATTGAAGTCTACATCTTTTTGAATAATACAACACAAAGTAAGACCTTGTCTGGATGATGTCTGAGAGCTGCTTTACGATAAGCCTTCTTAACTTCCGATGCAGTATCTGAAGATTTTATTCCCCTGAAAATAAGAGCATACAGAGTACTAACATAAGTGATTCCAGATCACATGAATAGCTCATCAATTCCATGTCACATGATTCATCATAATATTCATGTAAAATATTTCCAGAACTCTTTCAGTTCAAGTCATCAGCTGTAATCTTGTTCAAAGCCCACACATGGACTTGAGTGATTTGCGTCTAGGGCAGGCTCAACTGAGAACCGTAAATATTTTTAAGAGCTTGTGAACCAACGATTCGTGAATTATTCATATATTCTTGATAAATATCATGAATAATGAAAATCATGATATTCATGATCATTACTATGCATGGATATTTTTGGGTTATTCATRAAATAGTTGGTTCTCAGGTTCTCAAAATATTTACGTTTCTCATTTGAACGTTCCCATTTGCATCTATGCTTCTACATCCATACAATGCAAGAAAAGAATCACATGAATTCCCAAGGAGGTCCCAATRAATAGCAAACCCAAATATTTGCATGTACCCAACACAGGCATTGAGCATCACCTTTTTTTGCCATAAATAAAATGTGTTGCTTCAAAACCAAGGGATACAAAGATAACATAAACTTAATGAAGAAAAAGAACTTACAGAATAAGGTAAAGGTCTAAGGATCTTTCCTTCTTTGCCTTTTCTTCTATAGAAGAAAGACGGCGGCGAGCTCTTCTTAGATCTTTCACACTGCCTCCAGTTGCACTCCCTGGCGTGGCAGACCTCTGAGAATTCTTCCCTGACTGTATTTCAAGTATGGAGATGAGTCTCTGAAGATCATCAGCTGCATGCTTGTAGTCTCTAATCATCTCCTGTAAGGTAGCCCTTCTTGAAAGTGCCTGACAATATGACAAGGCAATTAACCATAATAAATTCTTACCAACACCTCAAAGTGGTTAAGTTAAAATATTGAATACTACTAGARGCAGACTAGAGCCTACAAACTAAAATCAAAAGGCTACTCAAGGGGCACAGTAAACATAACAAACTGCTTTAGTTTGAAATTTTTAAGCACAAAATTTGCATATGGAAGTGATAAAACTAGCAGTTTGCCAAAAAAAATTAAGATGAAGAGCAGCAATCTGTTAATAAATGTTCATGCAAGTTCCTATCAACGTCTATCTGTACTAGATATAAAACTACCAACGACATTAAACGTCTTAAAATATCTCATGAATCATTCTCTAAATTTGAACATGATTTGTAACTTTGTGCCTGTGAATGTGATTTCCTTTATTGACAAAGCATTCAACTTTAGGAACTTGTTAGCAGCACCTTAAARTGATAAAGTTACAAGGATRCTTACTACTGAAGGCAGACTAGAGCCATCACACTGAAATTAGAGTGTTACTCAGTCTGCCTTTAGTAGTAAGCATCCTTGTAACTTTAGCACTTTAAGATGCCGCTAACCAAGGTTTTAAAGAACAAAAACAAGCCTCGAGGCGATCCTTGTAACTTTTAGCACTTTAAGATGCCGGTAAGGCGCTAACAAATTACTAAAGTTGATTGCTTTGTCATAAAGGGAAATAACATGCAGACACAAAGTAAGATAATAGCCATATGATAAAACCAGAGCACTAAAACAGAATCCAAGACAAGGATTTCATCCTGCATGCTACTTGAGATGAACCAACTCAAATTTGAAAAGAGACATGATCTACAATACAATAAGGTAATAGCATATGATAAAACCAGAGCACTAAAGCAGATGTATACCTTCGGGTAACTTCCGTCAAGAGCTATAGCTATACTGCAATCTCCAATGGCATCAACRATTCCGCCCAAGGATTGGTGTGCAGCAGCACGATTGCAAAAACACACAGCTGCAAATGAACGTGATTCAATACTCTTTGATATTGCAGCAGTATAATGCTCCACTGCTTCTGTGTGTTTACCGCTCTGAAAGGCTTCATTTCCTGCATTCTGATCCCCCAACCAAAGAGAAGAAAAGATATATATAAAAAATAAGAATCAAGTTGATTCAAAAAGATACTTGGATATGTATAATGATTCAGTCCTCTGCATTAGCAACAATAAGGCAAGAGAATGCAGCACTGAGCTCTTTTCAAACTTAGAAACMATGAGCAGGATGCAAATATTACAGGAAGAATCAATTGCAGCTCCTTAAAAAAGCAAGTGAACACCTTAAGAAATGTATGCTTTAAAAGAATGAGTATATAAGCTAAACAGCAATTGGTTTGATTCATAACGTAACATATTACACTTGCTACAAAGAAGGGGGGAAATAATAACTAAGCAACCACCACCTTATTACTTCCAACAGTCATCAATGCTTAAAGGCACTGACCAAAAAGGTAACAAGTTGTCACAAGGCATAGTATAGCACCAAAAATTCAGTATAGAYTATCCTCTATATTTTATATATGTAAAGTACAGCATTATGCCTTAGTTGTTGGAAGTACTATTCTTAATTTGATTTATTTAYATTTCTATTAGTATAGGAAGCTGAAAATAATCATATTGACCTAACTCMTGAATTTTTGCTAGGTTTAAGTTGAACGTTCCTTGTCCCCAAATTTGAGAWGGTTTGTACTGTTTATCATCATAATTCAAAGAAGTTGACAAACTTCATGTTGACCTTCATAACTTCTATTCATCTTTAGCCACATGAAAAATCCCCATAATACCTTTGAGATCTAAGTTTAGATGTACTTCAATGATTTTGGAGGTTATTGCAAAAAACACAAACTAAGTAGMATGGCAAAAGCAGGGAGAAAATGTTTTCATTTACTTGGTTTTTCCAGCTAAATAAGGAATAGCAAGTAAGCCCTTAAATATACAATGTTTTTCATATCCGATTAGCATATTACAGTAATGCATCATGTTTAGACATGCCTCAACCAAACATGTTCTCACGCTTGGAAAGAGCTTAACATTACATGTAACACTTTGTTAGCCGCTCTCCTCCAGAAATTGGCATTCCATAAGCCAAAGCAMTATATTTACCCCACCTCCCAGTCCCAAAAAGAACAAGGAACGACCACTTCCTTCCCATCCTTGTTCTCTAATTACGAAACAAGTGCAAACACCAATACTTTTCGTGAAATTCCATCTATTGGAATAAATTAACTTGTTATACAGTCACTAATTGATAACTTCTTCACACAGAAACTAGTAATTGAAGCCGTTCCTCAAATGTTCTACCAATGTTCTTACTAGAAGGGTCAAAAACTGGTGCAACCACAGTTCCACATGTAACACGGAACATGAAACAAAGAACAATGTTAGCCATACCTTGCAGTGTAAAAGTTCACGTATGGCAACAGCCAGAGAAACTAATGATTCCTCAGGTCCCACAATCCTGTTTCCGACCCATATAATGTAAACATATATCAGTAACAAATTTWGTTGGCCCTTCCATAGCATATTGGGACATCAGGATTTATAATCATGATGAAATTGTTTGCATTACTTGTCTGTGGTCGGTCTCAGTTGCACGTGTTTCTCAATTAAGTCTAGAGCTATCTCAAGCCTGCCCAGATGAAAGTAGGACTTGGACATCAGGTTCCACCTCCAAAGCTTTAATGAGTTCTTGCAGTCATAGCCATCCACGTTCATGTGACCTACAACACCTCCAGTTGCAAAATTCTTTTCAGCTAAACCTAGAGTTTGCTCACACAGTTGAACCACCTCTTCATGCTTCTCCAACTGATCAAATTACAGCAAAGCAATCAATTCCAATTATTAACCAAGTATATCTAATGAAGATTATAAATCATTTAGACCATCACAAACCATAAGAAGAGCCTCTCCCTTCATATGAAGTAATTTCTCTGAATAGCAGCTTATTAACAAAGCATCATCAATAATTCTCAATGCATTAGTTGCTGAGTCATAAGTTTTCTGTTCCAGAAGCTCTGCAGCGCACTTCATATAATCATCAACTTTCTGCCAATGAGAGATTTTGTGGTTAGAAGCTGTCTTACAGGAATACTTGTTGCAAAGATAGAAGCCTCAAGGTAGCTTGCTTGAAAAACATTTATTTGGATAGCAAGTTACCACCATTTCTTTACAAAAGACAAACATTGAAAACCAGAAACCCAAAAATAAAATAATGGTGCACCATCTTAATTTTACAAGAGAGGACAGTTCAAAGCCTCATATTAAGTACGCTCGTAGCTTATATCTTGATTAAGTGCTCCAATACTATCAATATGCGTTGATTTTTAAGCAGTAAAATTGGGTAGTACGAAATATTAGTTTCCCAACCTGTACTATTTAACTTGTTTTGATATGGTTATGGTCATTGACAGTGGATTGGCAGCTGTGGATTCTACTAAAATGCAAGTTTCAAYATGGGTTCAAATGAAGCAATTTTAGTCATTAGTAAAGCCAAATAGGGTGGACCTTAACCTCACAAAACATAGGACATCAAAAGCTATAGGTGTTGTGATTTTAGTTTCATCAACCATTTGGTGTAATTGTGATTTACTTGCGATCGATAATAATCGTGATGAGGCAAAGAGAAGTGAGTTAGGGTGTGCRGAGTGCACACTCACAAATGTTGCGCCATCACCTTAGATMGCCATAAGGTGGGGTCAAGGGGGCGGTGCCCCCTTRCAGGGTTCGAGGGGCAGCACCCCGAGGTTTTTGGAATTTATGAAGAGTTGCACTTAGTGAAAATTTCACTAAGTGTAAGTATGGGTGGTGGATTCAGAGATCTGATCAGATTTCTGAAATCACCTTGAAAAATTGCCAAGTACATAAGTCCTGACTATGAACTCAGACTTAAGGCATGAACATCCAGACTTTAAGAATTTGACCAAGTCTTCATCTCCGAACAGTAGTGTCAGAGATCTGAACGCATGTGCATCCARACATAGAAAAATTGGTCCTTAACTCTGGACTTTGCGTTCAGACTTGTGGTTTGCGAAAATTCACTTGTCGTTAACTCTGGAGTCTAGAGTCAGACTCTTTGCAATCAGACTTAGACCCAATGGAGTCATACTTTGGTCTTGTTACTCTGATTCGGTTGCAACTGCTCTTCAATCTTATCCATTAACGGTTATAACCGCCCATAACCATCGATTTCTCATATAAATACATAAAACATGATCTGATGAATATATATATATACACACACAAAATTGGTGCATTATTTCGTGTATGAAATTTCTAGATTATGCCGGTACTAATTTCGTGATTACTCAAGGCATAAAAGAGGCAAAATACAGTATTTGGGAAGTGTTCTCCAATACATGATCTAGAAACTTATCCAAGTTATTTATAACCACAAACCCAGTTTCCCAACAGTAGGCTTCATTGGTTCTGATGATACCCAGCAAAAGAAGGCYGGTATAGCAGTAATAGTGTGAAATAGCATCTCTGGCAATATTACCGCATGTAAACAGGCCCTTCAATTTTTTGAGATTCCCAACCTAATTCATGGAATTTTATTTATAAAATTACTACTCTCGGAAATCAGAATCTAAAATACCAAATACATCCTACTATCTATAATCCAAATAAACAATCAGAATTCAAGATCTCAAGTCCATGGCGATGCTTGGAACTATCCAAAGGTGCTGAGCATGAACCACAGTATCATTGCAGTTGATATTGAAAATATTGTGATAGAGGCAAAAGCTACATGATATATGTAGTTACCTGTGCCTTCTGCAGGCCATCAGCAGCTTCAATTGCAATTCTCCTATCCAAGCAAACATTGTCCACAGACTCCAAGCACTTGTTATAATTGTAGAATGCATCCTCCACCTCTCCTAGAAGTAAATGACAACTACAAACAGGATACCAAAAAGTATAAGCAAGACATTACACCCTWGAATTGCAGCAAGTTCCAACAAAGCCTTTCAGCTACAAGAAACAAAATAGATTGTATGTGCGCCTTGATGGGTAAGGCGGGCCATGAGGCGGTGGGGAGGTCCACAGGCGTGTRTCTCTTCTCTTTTATAAAAAACCTTCCTTTTTTAGTTAAGGAAATGATAAAACTAAAAGAACTAATATTATTACGGAAACCAAATCTTCTCTTTTATATAAACACCTTCCTTTTTTTTACAAATATACCGTTCAAAAATATATCCTTTATAGTGAAAGGCCGGGTGGTTTTGTAATTTTAATATATTTTTAAATGGTTTTAATTTATTTCCTTCCCTTTCCTCCCACAAGTGGAAGGAAAGTTTTGAGAGGAAAGTTATCRTTATTTTCCTTTTGCTTCTTTTCCTTTCTCTCCTAAAAAAGTTTCGAGAACACGAGTTTTTTTCAACTTTCCTCCCATTTCCCTCCCTTTCCTTCGTAAAAAARGTTTCAAGAACACATAAAGAAACCTAATATTACTATGGAAACCGAATCGACGTCTTATTCCCTATGAAACTCAAAGTCTTTTTCTTCTGAGATTCAATACCAGACCAGTAAATTAATAAGTTTTTTTGACTTCTATTGCTTCTTCTCTCCAAGACTCCAACGACAGTCAACCATTGCCTCTTTGCTCTTCTCTCCAACGATTTCTTTGTTTCTTATATATATATTAGTATACATATGCTGTTTTTAGGTATAATCTATATATATATATATATATATATTCTGTTTTTATGTACATATACGTTATAATATATATATCTCTATATATATGTATGTATGTATTCTGTATTATATATAAATTATCTATAATCTATTATAATATATATATATATATATAAACTCTGTATAATCTGTTTTATCTATATATATAGTCTGATTTATGTACATATTCTTGTGACTAATCTGTTTTATGCACATAATCTGTTTTTAATATATAATCGGTTTTTACATATATATGTGTATATACACACATGTATATATTCTAAATTATGGGTTTATAGTTTATTTACTTGTATGGAAATATGAAATTATGTTTTTTTGTTAGTGTTACAGATTTAATTTTGTTGTTTTATTTTTTCATGATAGACYATCACTCCATTTGTTACACTAAATTCTATCTCTTAACAAGTATATTTTGGACAAGCGAAAAACCAGAGATGATTACGAGGTATACCAAGGGACTAATCTAATGCTATAGCTAGTTCTCAATGCCACCAGGTTCAATGTGTTTATGGTCCTTGGAATTAAAATCTTCAATATGAAAATTACTCTCCTTTTGGCTATAATTATGGGCAATCTCAGTGTCGCAGTGCTTATGTGTTCTAATGAACTCCATATCCAGAGTTAATATACAAGGGGATGCTTGGTTAAGGGTTTTGGATGATGAGAAATAGGAAAGGTGATATATAAGATGGTTTGTTGGCATAATAGAGTAACCATCAATGAGTGATGGATAATCATCCATTCCCCAAGATTCGGAGGAAACGAAACTCATTCCTCCATCGTTAACTGCTTCTGTCTCCATTCTCCATCTCTCAACTCCTTATGACTCTGTCGCCCCTTCCATATGTTTGACATATATCATGCCTTGGTGCTCCTTGGCTTAGAAGTAGACATCAGCGAGCTAGATTAAATGGTTAAATTCTACGTCCATCCTGGCAACAACAGTCTCACCTTCAAGGACTTTCAGGCGTTGCACAAGTCCCAGAAGACCTGTTCTTCGAGGATGGCAGTGGACTCGAGGATGAGACCAGAAGATGTAACCATAACAACAGAAGGAGGCAAATTTGATAGAGATGTTCAAGGTGTTTGATGAGAACAGTGACGGATAGGTATTAGCAAAGAAGTTGCAGATGGTGCTTGAGAAGCTAGGGTTCACAGAGGTGAGTGAGTTGGGGAGAGTGGAGATGATGAYATTGTTAGTTGACCGAAATAAAGAAAGATTGGTTGACTTCTCAAAGTTTAAGCACAATACTGATGATTCCCAGGTATCAACCAAGCATCATCAATGAAATAGGAATACCCATTAGTATCCCCCAAAGTTCCCATTCCTTAATTTTGTTTATTATTAATATGCAAAATTAGACAACTTACAAACACTTAAAAAGTATCCTGTCCATGGTTTTAAAAACCACCATAGGCATGCCTCAGGGCRGTTYGGTCCAAAAGCAAATATGAGGCACCGCCTCAGGGTATCTAGTAGGGACATGCGCTTTGGTGGTGTGAGGCGGGCAGTGAGGCGGTTGCGTATCTTTCCCTGATAGAAAATCTCACCCTTTTTATTTAAGGAAATAACTAAAAACTAAAAAACCCTAATATTATACGGAAGCCCATTAGCCTCTTTCCTATGTAGCGCAATTTCTTTTCTTTTGCCAACAAATTAAACATAAAACTTCTCGCGAAAGTCAATTGATCAACAAAGCAATGCTTTATACTATTGTCGACTTCTTCTCCTCTCTGGCTCTCTTCTGTATTACTTCTTATCYCTCCAACGGCTTGTACCTCCTAGTTGTAGGCTTGTACCTGCTAGCTGTAGGCTTGTACCTTCACACTTGTAATAAATTTATTCTCTTTTCTTTTGTAAGCATATTTCAGTTTCTGCATATTTTTATATAGTATCTAAATGTATATTTTTGTAAGAATCTGCATGTTCTTTTATGTATGAAGCTTCTTTTTTGTATAATCTGTTTATATATATATATATATATATATATATCTACTGATTTGTGTACATATTCTGCATGTATACGGGATGTTTTTATGTGCACATTCTGTTTTTACTATGGATACATGCTGTTTTTATGTACATATTACGTTTTTTTATGTATAATCTGGTTTAATGTATGGTATATATTATGTTCTTTTGTGTTATGGATTTATGAATTTTCTTTCTCGATTTTCGGGGATTATGCCTCATACGGTCATACCTAAGTAGAAAACGCCTCGAGGCTCCTTTCCATTCTTTAAAACCTTGATCCTATCACTTACCATGCTACCTTTGAGAGTTGCTTTTATTCTGGTATACATATCATGCATTCACATCAGTCCTTAAAATGCACTTTTAACTTAAGAGCATGGTCGTTAAATACAATTCAAAGCATATCAGATAGCTCAAGGCAAAGAACAGCAATGAAAAGAAATTAGATGATAATCTCTTCTACTTATATGTACGAGACAGACATAAAGCTTACTTTGCAGATCTCAAGTTGGCCTTCAAAAATTTGGGGTCTAATGCAGATGCCATTCTACAGTCCTTTAGGCCTTCCCTCATCCTTCCAAGAGCCATGCGTGTAGCTGCACGATTGCTATAGCACAAAAGAAGAGGTTCTATACAAAATCCAGGTGTCTCAGTATGTTGTATYGAACCAATCCCCTTTGAGTAACAAATTTCTGCTTCTGATAGCTCTCCATTTTTGTAAGCCTGGTTTCCCCTGACATAAACCAACTTTCAGAAGCAAACAACAAACTGAGTATAAAGCCATACCATGAAGTGCCACCTCTCCCCCCCCCCCCACCAAAAGAAAAAAGATGAATAAGAATTATGACAGCATATATGGCTACACAGCTGTAAATTATCAAAACATGAGTAAAAATAACACCTTTTTCGCCATTTGTCACATATTTCCTGATCTGTAGCCTTTGTATGTTCCTGACTAGTAGGTTCATGTGCAAGAGATGCATCAACTCTGCTATTTGGAGTTGTAAATTCCAAACCACAACCAGTTTTCATCTTATATTTCTTCTTCTGATGGGGGCGCTGTCTCACTGCTGCATCAAYATTAGCAGAAGATGAATTCTTTTTYGCACTGAACTTCTCTGTAGTATCAACAGCATCTTCATTTTTAACCTGAGAGGTTGGAGGGTCAGTAGAAGTTGGTGCACAGTCAGTAGCTGAATAAGGAGAGAAATCCATTGGTGAGCTACATCCAGGAGACTCTTCAAATGACTCTGGGACGTCTTTGGATAAACTAGTATAACCACCCTGCTGATAATTTCTAGCTTGTGGCCTCAGTTTTCCTTTGGTCTTTTTTGACTTTCTTTGGCTAACAGAATTGCTTTTACTAAATTCTAACTTCTTGCCTAAACCGGGAAACATATCYGATGTGAAAGAACATGCCACATTTATATCGGGTGTCTTAAAGCCTGTAAATGAATCCCCAAATCCACCAACTTTACTTGCAATGCTGAAGTTGTTGGTTATTCCAGCTCCACTGGCCAGTGGGGCTTCAGAATAATGGGCTTTGGGAACAAAACCAAGGCCTGTTGTTGAGGATGAGGATGAAGATGGGAACGTGTCTTTAATCAATTCAGCCTCAGTCTTTAGTTGATTACTATAACAATGACCGCCATCTGAACTCTTCTCATTTTGATTTACTGGTTCACTCGGGACATCGATATTTGATGTCTTCATCTCATCAGAGACTTTGGATAGAGGGTTGTCAGCAAAAGCATTGCCTAAATTACTTCCAAAAACAAAACGAATATTACTATCAGGAACAGMATTTATATTATTGTCAAGCTTCTTCAAGTAATCACAGCTCCCTGTGCCTTTACTCTTCAAACTGTTCATTTCATCATTGATTCTCCTATTTCCCTTGAAGCTGGATTCTTCTTTTTGGAAATTTGAATCTATCACAAAATCTCTATGATTGACAGAAAACACAAAATCCACATTTTCAAATTTTCTGCTATCTGATGTATTTTTCTCCTCTGCCTTGGGGTTATCATCCATAAAGGATCTAACTTCACCTGGTCCTCTTGTTCCCAAATTCAAGCCTGCCATTGAATTAACCAGACTGGAATCAGCCTTACTTGTATTGCTATTAACCTTCGTAAACCCATCAATACCTGATCTTCCCACTGTTTCATCAGGCCCGTATTCATGCCCAACATTGCCAACATTGCTTGAATTCGAGTTCATTACGCCATTATTCATATTCGCACCAAACACAAAATCCACACGATTAAGTTTTCCAAACTTATTAGCACCTCTTTCACTAACTTTTCTAGAGTCCACCTTTTCATCAGCACCRAAAACAAATTTTAAATTACCATCCGGGAACTTATTTCCATCGGTATGTGCCTCTTCTGAATCCATGTTTTTTGCTAATCTACTATCATCAGTGGCTCCAATATTAAAGCGCAATAGATTAAAATCCAAAAACTCACCAGCACTCTGTTGTTCACCACTACCGCCACTTCCCGTTTGCCCTAGACTCGAATTCAACACCGAACCACTAGTAGTCGCATTGAACACGAAACCAATAGTACGACCTGTAGGTTTTGTACTCGCTGCATCGCTACAGCTCGATTGTTTCCTCGCCTTCACATGCTTCCTCCTCGAAGAACGCACAGGGGCCGCCGCTGCCGCCACGTCATTTGAACAATCAAGTTTACTTGATTTCATGAGATTGAAACCATCATCAAATACACCTGAATCACTAGGATATTTCTGAACGCTAGGGTTAGGGTTTTGGAAATACGTACGCTGTGTGGATGATGATGCTGGGGATAGAAAATCTTCGACTGCGGGTGACATGGCAAGAGTGTGTACGATCTCGAGGGTGAAATCAAAAAGAACAGCAGTCGTCCCGCCGCCACCGCCGCCGATGGACGGAGAGTTGATATCAATTTAGCTTTCCTTCTTTTTTTCCCCAACTGGACATTGTCATTGTTGCTTCTACTTGCTCCGTTTTAAAGAAAGTTAAAAGGAGGGAATGCATAATGCGCAGGCAATTCAAGGGTTACCGAGGGACCATACATTTTGGTTTTTAACTTTTTTTTTTTTTTAACTGGATATTCAATCATCATACGAGCCCACTAATCTCATGATAACTATCTGCTTTACAAATAACTCGGAATTATCGTATTTGAATTTTCGTGGTCGCAAAGGGATTTTTATTCATCTTTGAATTTGAACCTGAGACCACCTGATACTTTTGACTTTTGGAGTCAAGCTCAAACCAATCAGGCACCATCATTGTGGTTAATTTAAACTTTTTTATAATTATTGCAAAATATTTTCAAACCGGTATCTATACTATATTATAAAGAATTTGACAAAAACTCATAAAACCGTTTTTTATATATAAAGTAATGTTTATTGATTCATATTACTTAAAATTCAATATTACAAGTAATTGTGCGTAAGTATAACGCATTAAAGATTCATTTTTGAATTTGTGCAACTAACTATAGATAAACATAATCAAATACGGGATACACGTCTCATTTTGAATATAAAAAATCTAAAATATAAGAATAATCAATAGTTAATTATCTTTATAAAAATTACTATTATTAAAAAATAAATAAATTACTTCGTTATTAAATATAAATAAAATGTTGAAT